CCCTGTGATGCACTAGCATCCCATTCAGTGATTCCCATACTCCTGTAGTAGACAAAAAGTTCCAGAATATCAACGCATGTATGCAGGCACAGAGAACTGTAAGGAACCCAAAATGTCCCAGATGGTAGCCATGCTATGAACCGCCTTGGCCCCTCCAGAACTTTCACAGAACAATTTCCATCATCTGGGTTCCATCAGCATTTATTACAAAAAATGGTTAAGAGTAACAATGTATTTAACAGCTAAGCCGACTGATATTTGTGGGGAGACTTTCAAAGCTGGCAGACGCTCTGGTTTCTTCACTGGAATGGGGCAAGACATCCAGTGAAAAGACGCACACTGCGGAACACAAAAAATGATATAACTAGAATGGCTGGCACAGCTTCCAATTTATATCAACACTTGGAAAGGAAACAGAGACAGGTACGTAGGCTAATGCTAGCAAAGTCGATTGTCCAACCAAAATTTGTTTTACATCGTAATCTACCCCATTACTCATGTTTTGATATGACTCCTACCAGCCCTGTGGGGGTTGAGGCTCAGACCAATAGCCTTTGGTGCTTTTTCACACTTTGAGACCGTCCATTCGCCTGTTTCGTGCCTGAAATTCAGGTTTATTGCAGTGAAGTATTGCATGGTCAGAGGTACCTGTCACATCATCGTAGATGTCGTCACACTTCCTACACATTAGTTAACCGATTTACCATTGTGGATGGTTTCCCCAGTGCTGGTGTTGAAAGACCAGTGTTTTACCTCAGCTGAACAACTGAAGAACTAATGATATTATCCTGGAGTCCTAACGTGGACTTTGGGGTTTGGTATCTTCTGTGTGTGGGGTAGGAGGTGATCATCTGCATGATACTGTCAACTGCATGATGAATGTGGCATTAATGCCTGGGATGGGGGGGGGGGGCTTTAAGAAATTTTATCAGCAATGGTTACAAGAAATAAAATGCGTTTTATATGAATATAGCCTTCTGTGTTCTGTTATGCGGAGAGCACAGCCCACCTGGGTGTGGTATTCACTCGACAAATGTGGTGTAGTATTCGGATCCTAATCAGCTATCAAGTCCTCCGGTATTTACGTTTTTATTTGAAAGTTTAACTTAAAAGGGCCCTTCAAAATGTCGGAACGTAATTAGATTGGTCCGGGCTGGGGGGCCAACATGACTTGGGACCCCAAATCTGTAGCGGCGTCCCTGCCTCGCTCATGCTACAGCCCTGGTGGAACAACAGGTAATTCAAGCACCAGAGGCACCTGCTGCAGCCGTCCTCAGCAGACGCACAGGCTTGGGCAGAGTGACTGTGCCGTCTGACACTGCGTGACCTCGCTCAGCCTCGGCGAGCACAGACGCACCGGCACCTTGTGTGGAACGGCTAGCTATCAGCCAGTTAGCATCACTGTACTTCATGGCTGCTATATCCACAAGAAGGCAGGACTCTAGCTGCCTCTGTGGGCGCAAAGAGACTGACATGGCTGCAGGAACGGAACCAGGCAGAACCAGGACAAGAGCTTGTTTACCTCAACTCTGGGTTTGTTTTTCTTGGCTAATTTTAGTGTTTCAACTTCTTCTTTTTAACAAACTTTTTAATATTTACTCCTAAGATACATGCCTCCTGTCTTCCATCTCTCCCTGCACCCCCACAATGTCCTTCTCCTTCAGAGTAACTGTCACAGCCACCAGCCTCTCTGCAGATGTTAGAGCCGTGGAGCATGGAAGCCAACTGAAGCTTCACACTCAGGTGTCCCAGCAAGAGAGGGGAGGATGAAAAGGAGTGGAAAAGACTTACCCCTCATGCAAGACAGGGCCATGGTGAGTCCAGAGCAGAGGGCACAAGGCAGGGGGCCTGTTTGGGATGCCAGTTTATTGCAGATCACACATCTTCCCAACAGTGATTCAGGGATACTAGTTCAACTGTTTGTTTTGAGATTGTGGCAGAAATCCTTTGCGAATACGGAGAGAATAGGCAAATTCACATTTAGAACTGGGGGTTGGGTCAAACTCACAACCCTGACTCATTACGCTACTCCAGTATGTGGTCTGATTTTTTTTTTTTTTAAACTTAAGCAGCAGAGTGCAATAATTATCCAAGTACTGTTACTTTGTTCTTAGAAAAAGGCTGTAGACAGTACCAGTGCTTAAGCCTTGCATTACCTACTATGTTAAGAGACAATTAGCACATACTACTGGCTGAAATGAGACCGACGTAGCGCAAAAGCATGTGTGCCTGCAACTGCACTGTCATAAACCGTCATAAGTCAGGTTGAGACTGCTTTCTCAGACTGGAACACTCAAGACTCAAAAAATCTTCCTGGGTCTACAGCGTGTCTGCAGTCTGTATGCAGCTTTAGCCCCCAGATTTCTTATACTAGCTTTAGTGTTTTTCAGAGGTGGCAATTTCAGGTCCAGAAAGTTAAAATCCAGACCATGATTTACTTTCAACCAACCAGTTGAGTACTCCGTGACTGTGACTCTTTACGCTCAACTGATTGGTTGAAAGTAAATCATGGTCTGGATTTTTACTTTCTGGATCTGAATTTGCCACCTCTGGTGTTTTTCGAAGGGGTGATTTGCCCCTTATCATGTCTGCCAGGTCAGCAATTATCCATTTTGCATACGAAAACCGTAAAGAATTTCTGTGCAAGACATCCAGTAAAAAGAAACACACTGCAGAACACAAATAATGCAAAATATAAGTAGAATGGCTGGCACAGCTTCCGATTCATATCGACATTTGGATTGGAAACAGAGACAGGTACGTAGGCTAATGCTAGCAAAGTCCAACCAACATTTGTTTTACATCGTAATCTGACAGCTGTCCAGCTAGCAATCTAATGTCTTATAATTATTAGTGTTGTACTTTATTAATCCCCGCGTCAGAAAGTATCATTCTTACACATCAAAGACCTTGGTCTCCAGAGAGAGACAGCTACTCAGTGTTCAGCGTCCCTGTAATACGAATGCAGAACAGCGCTTTTAAAGGTTTTAGGGGACAATTGATGAACAGGGTCAGTTTAACCTTGGGTGGTGCCTTTTTTCATACTGTCCTACAATCCAGACATTATAATGTGGTTTACCGTATTTTTAAGGTATTTTTAAATCTTGGCGGTAAAATTTGCCAACCGGGGGGATCCCTCACGATAATTTTTGGAAAAGTGTCCAAAGATAAGTATACAGAGAGCCATGGAGAGAGAGTCACGTACGTCAACTACGTTCACTCTAACAGACCACATTTTTTGCAGAAGTGTTGGATTGTGGAGACTGAATAGTTCCCAGTAGTTAACAAACACTATCAGCGCAGTAGAGTTGCAGCAGAATAGACCATTTGTGAAGCACTTTTAAAGGGTAAGATCAGATTGTATATTATCAACACATCGGTTATCAAATTTCCACGTGCATTAAAGCATGTTAGTGGTTTATCCCCCATTAAATCCATTAAATTAGTGGACTTAGGGAACACTGACAGATAAAAAAATTAGACTAGGATTCTGGATAAAGTTAGCAACACATGACATTAACCACAAGCAGCCTATTAATTGAAAATTCCATCTCTTAAAGCTGTTTCTTCCAGTATTATGGAATTAGAGAAAAAGGGCTTCTCAACGTGTCTTTTTTTTCTTTTTTTTTGCAGGGTGGCGCAGGAGTTAAATATCAGCCAAATATAGCGCTGGAGCAGTGTGATGGGAGAGTGGTGGGCGGAGGTGGTGAAACGAGGACGAGCTGAAGTTACATAAGGAAGAGATATTTTTGTGATTATATCGCTATTCATATGGATTTAGACCATATCAGTAGCGATTGATATGGTCACCCAAATGTCACCCAAACAAGGCAGGTTTATTTAAATTTAATTTGACTCCTCAAACAAAGTTGACTAAACCTCTGTACCTATGTTAATCGAACTTGCAAAATAGTGTTGAGAATTTAACAATCCAAGTTTATCAAAACTTTGTACCTAGGTTAATCTAACTTGTATTAGTGTTGCCTTAAGTCTTAAGTCAAAGTCAGCTGAACCTCTGTCTATAGCAGGGTTATTCAAATCACGGTCCTTGAGGTCCGAGCACTGCTGGTTTTCCAGCCTTCCTTTATCTGTCAGTCAGGTGTGAAGCCTCTGACCAATCAGAATCAGTAATTATTAAAATAACTACCTGGGAGAACTGAAAACAAGGCCTGGATTTGGAATCGAGGTCCAGATTTGAAGAACCCTGGTCTATAGGTTTGTTGAACTTTTGTAACTGAGTTGACTTAACTCAAAAATGTATTGCAGCATGTTGCCTTGAAATTTTGAGTTGACGTTTTCTTTTTTTACAGTGAATAGATTTTCATAAACTCTTTGACTCAGTTGATCGAGTTGTCCTGCGGGACATCCTGAAACTTTGCGGGATTTCCCCTCCAAAGTTGCTGGACATCATGGCCGGCCTGTACACTGGTACTGTGAGTGCTGTGCAGAGTGGAGAGAGAACCTCCACGTTCTTCCCAGTTGATTCTGAGGTTCGTCAGGGGTGTGATCTTTCTCCTACTCTATTCAATACTTGCATGGACTGGGTGTTGGGCAGGGTCGTGGGGTCCAGCAGCTGTGGGGTGTCTGGTTGCGGAAGAAAGATTTACTGATCTTGACTTTGCCGATGATGCTGTGATCTTCGTAATGTGAATGGAGGCTCTGATCGGTGCTCTCAAGAGATTGAGCGATGAGTGTCTGGGATTGCGAGTGTCCTGGATAAAAATCAAGATCCAGGCCTTTAATGACCTCTTGGGCACAACCATCAGCAGTGTGTCTGTCTGTGGGGAGGATGCCGACCTTATCCAGAGATATATCTACCTCGGCAGCAACATTCATGTCTCTGGTGACTCTACCTATGAAGTCAGCA